CAGATTTGCATTCAGGGCAACATGGGAACTGACGTCGATGGGGTCTGCAACTGGTACTCCCTCAGGGTCAACTGGAAGCACTTCGTTTCCTGGGGTGGCCACGTTGTCGTTTTCGCCATGAAAACCAAGGCCGTTGTCGATGTGTATGGGTACTGTTTGAGAGTTCGACATGTTGATCCTGGAATCAAAAATGCTTACAAGAACAAGTGTAAAGCAATGTGTGTTATAAAAATTAGCACCAGGCAATCACTATGGTACTTAGCCCTACGGTGGGCACCAAATTGTTTATCCTAAAAGGAGAAAACAATTGAATTTATATATGGTTTTAAGGACATGTGATTTTACTTGGCATAAACCAAGAAAATATGCAAACTGATATTGAAATTAACTGTAAAGAAAAATAAAAGCAAACCAAATGAAATATGTAGCTTGGGTCCTTGAATCAAATGAAGCAACAAAGGAAATACAAGCGAAGTAAGAGAGTATTGGGAACCTTGAGAAGAGAATATTATATTGCTTTTTTACCGTCTGAGGTATCTTTTACAAATGATTAGACCCCCTTTATATAGTAGAGGAGTCCTACTCTTGATACAATTCTAAATATAGTAAGGACTATCATGATAAGCTAATTAATCGGCCTCTTCTTGATACGTGCCGTGATTTCCGCCGAGATTCTCCCCCTAATTGCAGCTGTAACGGCTTTTTATTTTTTGGCTCGATCTTGATCCTGACCGATCTTGATCTTGGCTGATCTTGATCGGTCTCTGGGTCTTCGAGCTCGATCTTAATCGACCTCGATCTTGATCGGTCTCTGGGTCTCGAGCTCGGCCTTCCAACTTCACATCATAGCTCGATATTATAATAACGAAGCTCGGTCCATCATGTTCCAATTTTGATTAGTCACATGAAGGACAAACTCGGTTTTGACCGTATACAAAGTAGAAACATAAAATAGATATGATGAACAAGCACTGTTATGGTGAAATCATTCACGTTTGCGCTCTTGAGCGTGGACAATATTTAACTATATATTGTATAGCTAGTAAAGATAAACATAACAGTGCATATTCATCATTTCTAATTTATTTTGCAATTTTTATCACAATTCAGTGTTTTTCCATTAGAAGTTTTACGATGAGAGCAAAAGAAAATGACAGCAAAAAACTTGTATAAATTAATAAAACTCATCGAAAAATGCTGTTCAAGTGGGTTATTATTCCCATTCAAAAGGTAAAGTGGAATTAGTTTTCAACCATTAAAGGTTAAGGAAATTAAGTTAAATTTACTTTTTCTTTTCTTTTTTTCCTTCTTTTTCACACAATTAGCAGAAAAGTATACAAAGTTCAACTGCACAATAGTAGTATAGATTCTAGAACCATTTGAGATTCAAACATGTGTCTGACATTTATTTGCTGGCACTATGAAGGTTGTAAGGGTAGGTCTTAAGTATAATCAGGAAATTAGAGAAAATCGAGAGGGGGACTCCAAAACCGTGTAAACCGACAAATCTGAAATAGTGTGCCCCTGGATTATGCAATAATTTATGTCTGAACATACACACTATCTTAAACAAACAATGATAGGGAAATGAAAATTTTGAGGCGCATGCTAACAAAGTACACATTGAAATTAGAAAAGAAAAATAAGTTATTTATAAGGAGTTGGATATTCTTAATGGTGTGAGACCTTTTGGAGAAATTCATGTGGGTTTGACCAAAAGCGAACAATATCACACCATGTTAAAAATATTTTTAGGTCATTTTAGTTCAGAACAACTCTTAAACTAGCTCAACCAAATTTAAATGATTAAAATTATATGTTAGTGTAAAAGTTCTATACGCTAGTTTATCCAGCTGTAGCTGAGCCCATTCAATTAACTCAAAGATATGATTTTTTGTTAGTATATTCCTACTATTACTAAGAGGGAATGAGAGCTGCCTCAAGAAAAATTTGACCTGTATCCGGACACAATTTAGGTCATAAGGGTACTTCAAATGCTATTGGCTGAAAATATTGATTACAGTAGCTCCCTTGGAAATTTTTGAACAAGTTGACCAATTTACCTTTGCTCCATATCCCACGTGATCACGACACGCGTAAGATTCAGAAATTATAAATGGACCTCACACTTCATTGCATAGTTCAACACTGTCTGCTATGTTTCACATAGCTCAATTACGTGAACCAATGAGAATAAATGGGCCATTTGCACTGTGCCAATCGTTGCCATATACGATCCTAATGTTTAAACCAATAAGAAACAACTTTAAAGAATCCAGAAAAGCAAATGATGCTTTGGACTTTTGGAGATAGTTCTTTGAATCAAATTCCGTGTAGTTTCAAACGTTAAAATTAAAGTAACTGAGGCTTCCAAACAAGTCCTAAAATTGTGTGCTTAGCTTTGACAACCTATAAAATTTGACTTCTCCAATTTATTAATGTTGGGTAATTTTTATTACTAAAACAAATACTATGGGAATAACATGTTATTAACTTTTGTAATACATAGCTACTCAAAGATGGATTTGAAATTAAGTTTTGTAATACATGGCTACTCAAAGATACAACAACAACAACCCAGTATAATCTCATTAGTGGGGTCTGGAGATGGTAGTGTGTACGCAGATCTTACCCCTACCCTGAGGTAGAGAGGTTGTTTCCGATAGACCCTCGCCTCCCTCCCTTCAAGAACTTCATATCTTGCTCTTGGGGTGACTCGAACTCACAACCTCTTGGTTGGAAGTGGAGGGTGCTCACCACTAGAGCAACCACTCTTGTCAAAGATGAATTACTCTTGTCAGCTACTCAAAGATGGATTCAAAATTCAAATTTAATGGGTTTAAAGTTTAAATTTAATAAATTCAATATTTAACATTGTTACCACTAAACTCATTGTACTTTAGAAGTTATAGGTTGATAATTTACTTTGTTAACATTTTAGTGAACTTTCCCATGTATATTCATTTTTTACCGCCATTGATTATTGGGTTCAAAATTTAAATTTAACGAGTTCAATATTTAGCATTGTTACCACTAAACTCATTGTAATTTAGAAGTTAAAGGTTCATGATTTACTTTTGTTGACATTTTAGTGAATTTTCCCACGTATGTTTATTTTCTACCACCGTTGATTATTATTAAACTATAAAGCCATTTTTTTTGTAAGAGAGATTGGTAACATGTAAGTGCAAGGTCTAGGTAGATAACCTTTCTTGTGGTTTTGTAACGTATACAAACATTAAAGAACAAAGATAATATGCAAATTTCAAAAACCATATTTTAAAAAAAATGATATTTGTAATTCTAATTCAAACAGATTGTATGATGGCTGAAATGATGACATGTGAGTTACTCCATACAATTTTACCTTCTTGGTCGACCAAGGTTTTTGCACTTCAAAGTAGTTATCCATTAAATTCCTGATATATTATCAGGAATGAGAAAGAATAATAACGTTTTTTTTTCTTTTCCTAATTTACCTTAACTGGTGCAATAGTATGAAAAATTATCATTGGTATGTTATAATATAAAAATTACCATTAATCTGGTGAATTCTAACTTGATCTTGAAGCGGCGGTCAACTTTTTTTTTTCTTTTGGGGTATATAATCATGTGATTGGTTAAACTTCATCCTAATGTACGAATATATGCTTAATTTGGATTCAACTTTGCTTCAACATGGAAAATTAAAAGAAGGATGGAGCACTTTGATGTTGTCTTATATTCTTATCAAACATATAAATAAGATGTCTTAGTGAATATACACATAATGAAACTAAAATATGTAGATAAAGAAATTTGTATTTGAAAAATACCATTCTTTTTGGTACAAAATAAACATGAAAGAGTATCACATTAAAAGGAACGAGAGTAAACTTTTAAAATTTTTTGGTATTCAATTTTTTATAAACGTCTACAAACATTAGCATAGAACTTTTCATTGTTTTATTTTACATAATATATTTAATTATGAGTAACTTCATTAGTTTCACATTATAATAGAGGTGTAACAATATAATATTATTGATGTTTCTTAAAAGCAATTAACAGTAAAAAGTGGCCAGGAAAAGACAAAGGTAAGTTACTAAGTCAAGATTTTCTAAGTAGCTTCTAACCACGTTATTTACTTATGATCATGTATATCGTTCTCATATGTTTAAAATTTTAATTAAAAGCTCTTGAAAGATGGCATTATTTAGCTGTAAATGTTTGACGAAGAGAGCATAAAATCACATTTCTAAATACATTACACCAAAATTTATTTATCAAATAAAAATATTGTTACAATGTGTAAAGAATTATCCAGTATATACCATCTACCTAATAAAGCTACTCCATAAAATTTTATGTATCTACTTTTTTTTTTTATATCTTGTAAGCTTTAATTTTTAGAATTAGGCCCGGACTTAGCACGGGCTAAAATAACTAGTTGTGTTCATAAATGGAAAAATTACAAAATCAGAAACTAGAACCCACTTGTTCAACAATAGTTGTCCCGCTAAAGAACTTCTAAAGTAGCATACGTGTCTTCGTCCCCATCCAATTATGGCGATCATGTCTTAAAGGTCCATAATATCAAAACAAAATTGTAAAAAATAAAAAGGCATACGCCTAAAAGAAGTTTCCAAAATCTATATTTGGAGATTGCAAGCATATAATTTTTTCTACTTCATCAATAAGTTGGACCACTGCACATGAGAAATAGAGTAAATCTAAATTTTATTACAAGAAAAAATATACTATTAGAATAGACTAGGTGGGTGCTGCCCGTGCCAGCACGGGCCCAACATTATTTAACTTTGTATGATTTCTAATTGTAGATATAATAAAATTGATATTGTAAGCGTAGAATCTAAGTAGAAAATATTACATGCTAATTGATAGATGCCTATTTACATACATTTTGATCAAAAAAAAGATATTGTTAGTATCACATTAAAGGATGCTTAAAGTGCCACGTTAGTTACAACAGGTATGACATAACTATTTACATATTAGCAAAAGGTGATGCCTTGTGTATGCGATGTTTGGTCTTCTTTCTGATCTTCTTTTTAGTAGTTCTTGACCAAAAATGCCTGCAAACAAATAAATATGTTATATTTCATAGTCAAAAGAAGCCAACATATCTTCAAGGCAAATAATGTATTGCTAAGTTAGTGAAAGTTGTTGAAGTAAATTAACGTGGATTGCAAAAAATTATCCAACTTTCTTTTCAACATTATATGCCATGTTCTATCTCGAGTAGACTGTAACCTTTAATCTGGATATCTAAGAAGAATCTATAGCAACTAAGAGCAGATATACCAAAATAGAACCTAAGCCAAGAAGAATTCCAAAGGAGTTGCTACATACCAAACTTAGAATTCACTAATAAACAGCCAATCAATAAACATAGGAAATTATATCAGAAAGACTATGGTAGTATCACAGATGTATAAGGTTGAGGATATGCACAAGGTTGAGGATATGCACAGTAGAGTAGAGACCATGTAAATGGACAGGGAATCCAAGTCTTTTTTGAAAAATGGATAAATCAAATCCACAATCCCTTAAATACACTGGTTTGAACGTTCAGTGGCGGAGCCACATTGAACCAAGGGGTGTCAGGGACACCCCTTCGCCGGAAAATTACACTATATTGCTAGATATTTTATTTTATTTTATGTATATTTACTATACGTTGACTCCCCTTGACTTTTCGATGTATCTATTTTTTTTATTTTTTGACACCCCTTGATGAAATTTCTGGCTCCGCCACTGTGAACATGCAATATCTTGGATAGGGTATCCAAGTTACAGTAACCACCAGAAATCAATGGATATAGTTATTAACTAAACAGATCAGTAAAAAATTCTTTAAGCATATACAAACATGACATAATAAATCTCATCCAAAATCGAGAACATGAACAGAAAAGGAACTGGTCAACGACTTCATATGATATATAATGTATCTCAAGTGAGTTATTAAAACTATAGTTAAATAATCTTTCCATAATTGGCACTCTGCAATTAAAACCCAATCCTAATTAAGGTGTGTAATATTTCATGCAAGAGTTTTGCAGCACAGTTCATGGAGCTTTCATGTGCACATACCATTTAAGAGAGCTATTTGTGTACATTATATATCGTAGAAGCTCTCAATTTTTTTTATTCTGTATCTCCGCAAATGAGTTTATGTATATGAGTGGCTAATACAGGAAGAGATCATCAGTTGGCAATTAAGGTATGTAGGAAACAACACAGGATTTATTATATAATGTTACTAATAGTGCATTCTTGTGTTCGTTTACGATACTACATGGAGATTCCAATAGTTAGATTCTAATCGAACTAAGCATGGCCATTTGAAATATCTATTATAACTTTAGATAACTTTGGAGGGTGATTAGGAAAAACAGAAACAGTAGGAAAATCTCATCAAGAGAATAAGTGACCAGAGGAGAAATTTCTTGCATGCACCTTCTAGTCGCTTCTTAGTGATCTTGCATGATTGCTTCTAAGAGCAGTTCCAAAATCATACGCTAAGTTAAACAGTGTAATAAATGCCTAAAGGCAAATAGCAAGGTTAATGGCACATTTTCTCGTGCTCGTGCTAGGAGAGCCTCTTTTTTATAAGCTTGCATCATTCTATATAATTCGCGTCGCCTAGCCTTCTTGTCATGTATTTTTTCGAAGTTTTCATTTTTATGATTTTTATTCGACATTTCAGTCGTCTACTCACTGAATGTGAAAGTCAAGTGCATATTGACATTACTGAGTGTATGTTCAACATTGGCTAATATGCATGCATGTTTATACTAAGTAAAGAATCGATGCAAAAACTTACAATACCTATACATAAATGATTAGAGGTCAGAAAATTTACCTTCCGGCGCTACCGAATAACACGATACACGACAATCACAACGGATCGCAAGAACTGCAATAACAAAGAGAAAAAATCGGGGGAAAATACTATTAGTAATAGATAACTCCAACCAAAACAGAGGAGAAAAATGAAAAATTAGAACAACCTAAGAGTTAGAAGCAGTCATGCACGATATGATTAAACAACAACCAGTTTGATCATATTGTCCCTATCAGTTAGGGAAAGATAGCGCCGCCCAAATAATTTCATAAATAAAAACCTTAAATTAAGACCTATACAATTTAGCGTATACACCAGCCAGAAAATTGCAAAGTCGAGAAGTATGTGATTGCAAAGTAGAACCGAGAAAACCCAAATCCAAAATTCAGCACGCTTCGAGATCAAACATGCTTTTTATCGCTCGATTTAACACACACCATCGAGCTGTAAAATTAAAATTTGTGAACAGAACCTAAAATAGGGGCAACCTACAACATTAATAGGGAAAATTTAAGATATGGCAAAAATTAAAAGAAGGGAAACAAGATGTGAGGAGCAACAGAGAAGAAATGGGGGGGGGGGGGGGGGGGGGGGAGGGGAGAACCTACAACAGCCACTGAACTTCAAAATTTTCCCACATCAGTATCATCAGCGGATTGAGATCGAGAATTGATCTCAACCCAAAATTTTGCATGGGGGCTGAAATTAAGTGAAAGAGCAAATTCCAGAACTGAGCCATTTGGATCAAGGATTCAGTCCAGATAACGCACTGAATCAAGTACATGAATACTATTTAAGAAGAATTCCCCAACCCACTTCTGAATTCCTTGAAAGAACTGAGCCATTTGGTTAGAAGGAACGAAAACAAATAACCAAAAAATGGGCAAAATATCCCTTTTGAAGTCGACGTTGGAATGGGACGGCAGAAAGTGGGAATTTTGTTCTATTGGCAAATAATGATGGATTTTGCCTCTGTAGAATGGATCAAATTTGGAATCAAAGGAAAGTGTGAATTCTGCCGAATTTGGAATACAATAAAGTGCAGGAGTGCACTGTTTAGATTTGGTAACTGACAACTTATCAGATGCAAAGCAAAAAACAGGTGCAAAATTGATTAAAAACATACCTGTAGATAGAAGCAATTTGAGGAAGATGAAGAGATCGCTGAGAAGCAATGTAAAATCCGAAAGTTTATTATGCAAACAAAATGGAGGAAACCTGGAGCCCGTTTGGCTTAGTTGACACAAAGTGTGTTGATAAGCATTAAGGTTAAAAAACAGTTAAGTGATGGAACTTATTTAACAAATAAGAAGTTACATGTTTCGATTTAAATGCTGAAACTGATAATAAACGGTTAAAGTGTTTGTCAAATAGACGCTCATACACATTTTATTGTAATGTAATGACTTAAATGCCTCTTAAACTATTCACACTAATAAATGTATACTTATACAAGATTTTAAATTCTAAATTGATTGAAGTATAAATTAACTTATGGATTTACTTTTAGTTCCAAATTGATTAGATTAAATTAGTATTTAGTAAGTATATATTATTTTAGCAACAGGGGGCTAAAGTACAATAAGAAGATCATTATTACATCGTCAATTTTCATTACCAACACAATGCAATTAAAAATAAATAATTTAGTTCATATTTCACAATAGAATATTGAATGATGCAAAACAGCCACGTTTTCAAAGAGATGAAGAAACTCGATTTACAGAAGATAGATTTTTTCTAACTCAAATTAATTTGATTGATTTATGTTGATGATAAAGAGCTTTTTGTTGTTCATGATGGTGGACAATATTTCTGAGAAATAAGCCCGGGAAAAGATGACGGAGTGAGAGTGAAGAATAGAGTTAAGAGTTTTATTAAGATAAATGTATTTTAGAATTATATAATAATAATAATATGAACAAAATAGTAAAAATTTTGGTTAAACTAAAAGTACTTATAAGTTGAAAAGTCATAAGTTGGAAATGATCAATTTGTGACTTATGGCTTATTTTGGTTTATAAACACTTGACTTATAAGTATTTTTGATGTTTACCAAATATGTAGATAAACCGAAAAGTACTTATAAGCTAGTTTGATCAACTTATAAGCTTAGACAAACATCCTCCTAATATGTTGTCTATGTAAAAACACTGGAGTCGTATAAAACTTTACACGTAGTATTTGTATAGAAAAAATAAGCCACGAATGTAAAATGACTTAGAATTGATATGAAATGACTTAAATACCCTCGAGCTTTTTAAAAAAGACTTTTAAGCACAGAGATCGAAACCACCAGCTTTTCTAATNTTACTCTATTTGAATTAATAAATATAGATATCTTATAATTAGCTATATTAAAAAAACAAAAATAAATAACTACTTATTCAAATTGGGGAGTAGTTTCAAGTTGGAGTTTTAAAGTTATTTTAAAATAAAAAAACGAAAAATAAGAAAAAATAAAATAAATTAGCTACAATAAAAAAAACGAAAATATTAATAATAAAAAAATAACTACCTATTCAAGTTGGGGAATAGTTTCAAGTTGGAGTTTTAAAATTATTTATTAAAAAAAAATAAAAAAAAATAAAACAATTGCCAATTCAAATTGGGGTGTGGTTTCAATTTGGAGTTTAAAATTATTTTAAATTAAAAAACAGGATTAAAGAAATAAAAAATTATCAATTTAATTTGGGGAGTAGTTTCTTTCTAATATATTAGTCTCTCTCTCTCTCAATTTGCCAAATCAAATTTGGGAGTAGTTCCAAGTTAGAGTTTTAAGACAAAATAAACTACCTTTCTAACTAAAAAATCTTTTAAATTTTAAATTTTGAATTAATTGGTTACTCTATTTGAATTAATAAATATAGATATCTCATAATTAGCTATAATAAAAGACGAAAAAAACTTACCCATTCAAATTGGGGAGTAGTTTCAAGTTGGTGTTTTTAAAAATATATTAAAATAAAAAAACAAATGAAAAAATAAATTAGCTATAATAAAAAACAAATATATATAAATAAAAGTAATATCCATTCAAATTGGGGAGTAGTTTCAAGTTGGAGTTTTAAAATTATTTTAAAATAAAAAAACAAATGAAAAAATAAATTAGCTATAATAAAAAACAAATATATATAAATAAAAGTAATATCCATTCAAATTGGGGAGTAGTTTCAAGTTGGAGTTTTAAAATTATTTTAAAATAAAAAAACTTTCAATTCAAATGAAAAATATAAAAAGTCAAGTGGCATTGCTAAGACAAATATTTTTCAAGTGGCATTCAAACTGGGAGTAGTTTCAAGTTGGAGTTTTAAAATAAAAAAATAAAAAATAAGAAACAATTAAATTAGCTACAATAAAAAATGAAACATATTAAAAAATAAAAACAAAAATAAACTACCTATTCAAGTTGTGGAGTAGTTTTGGTTACTCCCTTTCTAACTAAAAACCTTTAAATTTTAAGTTTTTAATTAATTGATTACTCTATTTAAATTAATAAATAAAGATATATTATAATTAGCTATAATAAAAAAGGAAAAAAACTACCCATTCAAATTGGGGAGTAATTTCAATTTGGAGTTTTACAAATATTTTAAAATAAAAAAAAGAAAAAAAAAGAAAGTAAAATTAGCTATAATAAAAAAATAAAAAGATATATAGTAAAAAAAGGAAAAAATAATTATCCATTCAAATTGGGGAGTAATTTCAAGTTGGAGTTTTACAAATATTTTTTAAAAAAATATAAATTAGCTATAATAAAAAAATAAAAATATATAATAAAAATTATCCATTCAAATTGGAGAGTAGTTTCAAGTTGGACTTTTAAAATTATTCTAAAATAAAAAGACAAAAATAAAAAAATAAAGAAACTTTCAATTCAAATGAAAAATACAAAAATATAAAGATACTATT